TGAACCATGAAAATGAGGTCAAGGAAATTGGACATGTGACTGACGGAAACTTCGTAACATGAGGCATCCATATACAAAGTATGAAGCATCCAGGTCTTCCACCTTCTAAAATATAAAGCTTTTAAGAAGTTAGCTAACGCCGCCGCCGCCGGATCGCTATCCCTATGTCAAGCTTTCTGCGACAAAAGTCGCAGGCTCGACAAAAAATAAAAAAAAAAAATCCCCCCCCCCAAATTTTTTGAACCCCCTTATGATTCATCACCCCCAAACTCAATCCCAGCCTTCCCTTTGTGGTATGGTACCTTGCAGTACAATTTCAGAGAGATCCATACACTTGAACACAAGTTATTGTCTGGAAACTAGAAAAATGCTTATTTTTAGGCCCCTTTTTGGCCCCCAATTCCTAAACGTTTCGGGCAATTACCCCCAAACTCAATTTCAGCTTTCCCTTTGTGATATGGAACCTTGTAGTACAATTTCAGAAATATCCAAACACTTACACACAAGTTATTGTCATGAAACTAGAAAAATGCTTGTTTTTTGCCCCTTTTTTGGCCCCTAATTCCTAAAATTTTGAGGCAATTACCCCCAAAATCAATTACAGCCTTCCCTTTGTGATATGGAACCTTGTGGTACAATGTCAGAGAGATCCATACACTTACACACAAGTTATTGTCTGGAAGTTACAAAAATGCTTATTTTTGGCCCCTTTTTGGCCCCTAATTCCTTAACTGTTGGTACCATAACCCCCAAAATCAATCCCAACCTTCCTTTCGTGGTATTGAACCTTATGGTAAAATTTCATGGAGATCCATTCGCTTAAACTAAAGTTAGAGTGCGAAAACCAATGTGTCTTCGGACGACGCCGGACGACGACGACGACGACGCCAACGTCATACCAATATACGACTAAAAAATTTTCAATTTTTGCGGTCGTATAAAAATCACTCCATCAATCCTCCAGCCCTTTTACATATTTAGCAATTGTCCGGGTTAGTAACATCTCAGGATTATATCTACTCATTATTGCAGAATATTCAATGAATATACATTCATCGTTTAATTGAATATATCGGGTAATCGGATATTTTTAGCTAACATTTTGGGTATCCGATTTGCCGGAGTCTACTGTAATTAATCTTGCATTTTTGTCCTTTCTTAAAAATCGCAATAATAAATGCACACAATGATTTCTGAATTTACAGTTCTTCGTAGTAAATACAAGTAAATTGAGTAATTCAGTCAATGGCAATCCTACTATCTGCATTACATCATATGACGTAAAAAATCTACTTGAGGCAAGGACGTCTATTTTTTAGTAATATAAATCCTTGCTTGAGGTATATAATGAAGTGTATATGATATGGCTTTTTCAATATTCCACATGATATCAACCCTCAATAAAATGCTCCGCAGGGCGCAGCTTGATACGACCGCAGAGGTCGAACCCTGAACAGTTGGGGCAAGTATGGACACAACATTCAAGCTTGATACAGCTCTGAATTTGGATTGTGATTAAATATTTGACACAGCATAGGTTTCTGACACAGAATGAATGTGGTCTAAGAACTTAAAAATTTTAAATTGGACATTCACCTATTATGGTCCAATATCCAAAATCTAAATACATGGTTAGATTCAGCATATCAAAGAACCCCAAGAATTCAATTTTTGATGAAATCAAACAAAGTTTAATTTTGGACCCTTTTGATCTCAATGAGGACAAAAATGATAACAGGGCCCAAAAATCAAAAATCTAAATACATGGTTAGATTCAGCATATCAAAGAACCCCATATATTCAATTTTTGTTGAAATCAAACAAAGTTTAATTTTGGACCCCGATTTGGACCAACTTGAAAACTGGGCCCATAATCAAAAATCTAAATACATGTTTAGATTCAGCATATCAAAGAACCCTAAAAATTCAATTTTTTTTAAAATCAAACTAAGTTTAATTTTGGACCCTTTGGACCTTTATGTAGACCAATTTGAAAACGGAACCAAAAATTAAGAATCTAAATACACGGTTAGATTCGGCATATCAAAGAACCCCAATAATTCAATTTTTGCTGAAATCAAACAAAGTTAAATTTTGGACCCTTTGGACTTCAATGTGAACCAATTTAAAAACGGGGCCCAAAATCCAAAAACTTAATACACAGTTAGATTCAGCATATTACAGAACCCCATATATTCAATTTTTGTTGAAATCAAACAAAGTTTAATTTTGGACCCCAATTTGGACCAACTTGAAAACTGGGCCCATGATCAAAAATCTAAATACATGGTTAGATTCAGCATATCAAAGAACCCCATATATTCAATTTTTGTTGAAATCAAACAAAGTTTAATTTTGGACCCCGATTTGGACCAACTTGAAAACTGGGCCCATAATAAAAAATCAAAATACATGGTTAGATTCAGCATATCAAAGAACCCCATATATTCAATTTTTGATGAAATCAAACAAAGTTTAATTTTGGACCCTTTTGATCTCAATGTGGACAAAGTTGATAATGGGGCTCAACAATCAAAAATCTAAATACATGGTTAGATTCAGCATATCAAAGAACCCCATATATTAAATTTTTGTTGAAATCAAACAAAGTTTAATTTTGGACCCCGATTTGGACCAACTTGAAAACTGGGCCCATAATCAAAAATCTAAATACATGGTTAGATTCAGCATATCAAAGAACCCCATATATTAAATTTTTGTTGAAATCAAACAAAGTTTAATTTTGGACCCCGATTTGGACCAACTTGAAAACTGGGCCCATAATCAAAAATCTAAATACATGGTTCGATTCAGCATATCAAAGAACCCCATATATTAAATTTTTGTTGAAATCAAACAAAGTTTAATTTTGGACCCTTTGGACCTTTATGTAGACCAATTTGAAAACAGAACCAAAAATTAAGAATCTAAATACACGGTTAGATTCGGCATATCAAAGAACCCCAATAATTCAATTTTTGATGAAATCAAACAAAGTTAAATTTTGGACCCTTTGGACCTCAATGTGGACCAATTTAAAAACGGGGCCCAAAATCCAAAAACTTAATACACGGTTAGATTCAGCATATTAAAGAACCCCAAGAATTCAAGAATAAAACCCCATTGAAATTGATCAAGAAATAAGCAATTTATACAAAGTATCTTCTTTTGCACAATACTGTGCAATTGATTATTTCTTGCTATTGCGCATTACTGTACAATTGACAATTTCTTGCTATTGTGCAATATTGTGCTATTGGATATTTCTTGCTATTGCGCAATACTGTGCAATTGAAGATTTCTTGCTATTGCGCAATACTGTGCAATTGAAGATTTCTTGCTATTGTGCAATTGAAAATTTCTTGCTATTGCACAATACTTATTATATAATAATTTACACATCCTGTTTGGTGTGTATCTCCTACCATATCATTATTATTTGCTTTTAAATATAAATCAGAAATAACCAACTTAAAATGGAAAATTTTAAAAGAAAAAAAAAAGGAAAAAAAGAAATAAAAATAAAAAAAAAAATCCCCCCCCCCAAAATTTTTTGAACCCCCTTATGATTCATCAACCCCAAACTCAATCTCAGCCTTCCCTTTGTGGTATGGTACCTTGCAGTACAATTTCAGAGAGATCCATACACTTGAACACAAGTTATTGTCTGGAAACTAGAAAAATGCTTATTTTTGGCCCCTTTTTGGCCCCCAATTCCTAAACGTTTCGGGCAATTACCCCCAAACTCAATTCCAGCTTTCCCTTTGTGATATGAAACCTTGTAGTACAATTTCAGAAATATCCAAACACTTACACACAAGTTATTGTCATGAAACTAGAAAAATGCTTGTTTTTTGCCCCTAATTCCTAACATTTTGAGGCAATTACCCCCAAAATCAATTACAGCCTTCCCTTTGTGATATGGAACCTTGTGGTACAATGTCAGAGAGATCCATACACTTACACACAAGTTATTGTCTGGAAGTTACAAAAATGCTTATTTTTGTCCCCTTTTTGGCCCCTAATTCCTTAACTGTTGGTACCATAACCCCCAAAATCAATCCCAACCTTCCTTTCGTGGTATTGAACCTTATGGTAAAATTTCATGGAGATCCATTCACTTAAACTAAAGTAAGAGTGCGAAAACCAATGTGTCTTCGGACGACGACGATGACGACGACGACGCCAACGTCATACCAATATACGACCAAAAAATTTTTTAATTTTTGCGGTCGTATAACAAATATATTGGTGTCTCAGGTTATACAGATGTGATATTGAAAAAGCCATATTATGTTTTCTCTCATGAATATGGTTGAAATAATATCATTTAGTAGCATGGCTTTTTTCTTATTGTTTTGTTGTTTATTTCTATTCTTATGTTAATTTGAGGATTTTTTGCTTTGTTTGTTGTGGTTTTTCTGATGTGTGTGCAAAATTACTGTGCCTAGGATTTACACAAATTAGTAGAATCATGAGCTCTTTATATATAATGTTTATATAAAGCCTTGATAAATATTGCTACAATATGTTTCTGTAATTTTTTTTAAATTATGACAATTTCAGGCAAAAATATTTTCAAAATTTTTCAAATCATCATAATCTAGGTAATAAGGCAAACATTTATACATTGCTTGGGATAAAATTTAATGAACATTTTATTTATTCTGACTCTAGTTAATACTTGAAAATAAAAATATCAGACTTAGGGGGAAAACATGATGTCCATGAAACCCCTAAACAGACATCCAGAAATTTTAAATCATAGAGCTTTCACACCAAAGGTGTTTTAATGTTCACAAAAAAAATCTTTAACAAAAAATACTGATAATTCATGAACAATGCAGTAGACTTATGATCAATTTTAGCCTGTGAAGATTTTTTGTAAAATGCAGGCCATGTCCTATAAAAAAAATCAAGAATAAGTCAATACAGAATTATGTAAATTTAGTCGACCTGAGAGGACTTGCAAAAAAAACTTGACAGTTTAACTGACTTACCTTTTTAGGATTATATACACCGGTAAAATCTGAATTTACAAATAATATATTTTCTGGTTTCAAATCTGTATGTGTGAGGTGGTTTTCATGTAAAACTGAAAATACATAATAATAAACAAGTTGATGAATATATTAAAATGTAAAGCTATGTTTTTACATTTTCAATCTTAGGGCTTACATGGCTTATTTATAATAGAATTTTTTAATTATTATTTCTACGGCATTGTCTAACAATTTGAATTAAATATGTATATTACATGTATATATATATGTATAATGATTTTCAATAATATTCTAGAAGATGATGTACAGTGTGGATTGAAAGGCATTCATATCTCAAATCTATTCATCCATCCATTTCAAATAAATTTCTTTCTTTTTTTTGTGCTCAGGACTACCTACATACTGAATTTAAGCCTACCATCCAGTGAAGGACTCCCATTGAAATTTTAGAATGTTACAGGGAGAATATCTGAATCATTTTCTATGAATGCATATTTTTTTCAGCTTGTTTTGGGGCCTAAAGTATTACTTTTTGGAGTGTTTAAATGTAAATGCCTCCTTCTAAACAGAAACTTGAATCACCACCACCAGACATTTACAAATTCCCCAAACCAAGTTTTATTTTAAAGATTAGCCATAGTAAATGACCAGCTTTATCTAAATTTTCTATAGACTTGTATGCAGATTTTGACTACACCACAAAATCAAATATCCATGAAAATACAAATTTTTACTCAACTCACAAAAATTGGTATCAATGAAAATAAATAAATCCACAGTATAACAAAATTTAATGAAGGAAAAAAAAAAAAAAAAAAAAAAAAGAGGAAAAAACTCTGTGATACTTACAATTTACAGCGTAACACAGTTGATATGCTATGTGTCGTACTTGATCTAATGGATAAGGTATATAATGGTTATCTTTCTGAAAAATAAAATATGTAATATTAGTATCATAGGTCATCACATTTTAACAGCAAGATAAACATTTTCATTTATCTATTTATTCATTGTTGGTGTTTTCATAATACGCCACTTTTTATGATTGATTGTTGATTGCTTTACGCTGCATCAGCACAATAAGGCTATATCGCAGCGAGAGCTATTTTAAATATTGTAACAAGACGTAATTTTTTTAAAAATCAGACAAAAGTCTTTCAATTTACTATAAACCCGCCACTTTTTAACACTACTGGCTATATGGTAGGGGCCAGTTTTAAATGGCAGAAGAAGCCAGTGTCTGAAGAGAATCACGACCTTCAGCAGGAAACTGTTAATCTTAGTCAATTAAGATTGGAGTCAACAGCACCTGCCACATGAGGGGTTCGACCTCACAACCTGAGTGTTGACAAGCTGGTGATACTGGTAATGAACTACTTAAACTCGTTTTTTTCAGTATGTTAGCCCACCTCTCTAAGTCTCTGCTTAACATATTATTCAAGAAGAAAAACAGCAATAAAAGTGCCCAGTACATTGTACATGGTTACTTCTTACATTGTAGACATACATCCATATCACTTTTTCTATCAATCAAAAGGGTGGCATTAACAATAAATGAAAGCCTCATTAAATTCCTTGTAGACCATGCAATATTTTTATGACAGGCCTAAATTTAATTTAAAAGACATCTTTTTCAATATGTTCCATTGTGTTTTTTGTTTTGTTTTGCATGGTAAATAATTCAATCTACCACTCAGCAGTTTGGGAATCACGCTTTTCATAACGAAAATGTCTCTGTTTCTAAAATTCCTACTAAAATATATTTCTGTGAAATAATTACTAAGCACTATCAGTGTTCTCCCCAGGCCGATATGACGCTGCGGTGCCGCAGCGCCTTCTTAATATTTTTGTAGATCCCGCAGCGTCTTAATTGGACGCTGTCCCTTAATACTTGATCCTGCAGCGTGTTAATTTTCACATTTTCATTATAAATGTTGGTTAAAATTGTCAAGTTACTGATCACCGCTGATGGGTCGGTCAGTGTTACACAATAACTAATAATTAGTTTTACCTGAGCCACGCTTATCTCAGCCTTATCGGACTATGTTATCAGGTAATAGCGTAAATGATCATCAAGAAGATAGATATTTTTTGAAGAAAATTAAAAATTTTAAAAACTTCAGTGCAGAAATTGAAGAAATAGATCGCAAATACATTGTATTTACGCATCGTGTGTGTGATCACTTGACCATTTATATAACGAATTTTTTCATTGGTCGAGAAGAAGAATCTATTTAAACACGACCAATGAACGTGTTGAATACACATGATAAATTTGAATACACATTGCTAAAGATATTTACGATGAAAACTATGAATGAAAGTATAAGTAGTTGAAAAAATTAAAATAAAGTTTGATTAAAGATAACGAGGAGTGATTTATTTAATAGAAAGTGAAAAAATGTTGCTTGCAAGGTAAATTCGTCTGAAACTGTCATATTTTTAGAAATAAAATGATCATCTGAACATCGATCGTGAACCCGTGCTTCTGGAAATATGTGACAATCAACACGGGTACAGAATCGCCGCAGCTTCTGTATAATGTCACTGGTAAATAATTTCAATGGTTTTAACTTTAACGAATTTGTAAAGTTTCGTTTATATCTATCTGCCAAAGATAGGATTAAACAATAATACGCACGGAAGTGTAATGTGAAACTACGGAAACTGGTCAGCTGTTCATTTATATAAAAAAAATTGTTTTAAAAAGTTGTAAACCAAATATCTTAACCATATTCGATTTTATTAATTCTGAATGAACATGTTCTCTGCAAATAAAAAAGGGGTGAATTATAAGCAAAAGGTAGATGATGGAAGTAGAAGTTTTTTTTCGACCAATGACTTCTAATTAAAAGGGGAATACACCTCCGTCTACACTGTCATTATAAGCAGATTTCATTGCTTCTCCTAATCCCAACCAAGCTCAAGTTTTAGCAATTGATAAAAGCAAGCACCATGTTTCTGGTTTCAATGACAAGTGGCTGACTGAGTTTTTATGGCTTAGAAATGTTAAAGGGGGTATAAGCAAAAGTTATTGTGAGTGGGGGTTTAATTTTTAACCCTGAAGAGGATAAAGACAAAGTTGAGGAACAGACTGTCCAACAAAATAACACTATCTTAAAACAATATCCCTAGAAGGAGCAGAGAGTAGAGATGAATATTTATATTTTGACTTCTTTAATTGACTGAATATAAATAACTTTTGTGTTTAAAATCAATTTCTTTCATATATATATTCTTGTAATTCATTAATACTCTGCATTATTAAACACATAACACAAAGCATTATAATTCATATTGCATGTCATGATTTATGACTTATTGCTTCAGATCACAAACGTTCACTCTAAAAAAAGAGTTACGCTCCCTTGAATTTTGCGCCTTAAAAAAATCCTGGGGAGAACACTGACTATTACAAAATATACTAATTAAACATACCAGAAAATCAAATACACTGAGACCTAACATATCAAACGCTATACACATGTGGCCGTGGTAGTCGAACCATTCCATCATCTGAACACATAGGCTGAAAAAAATCAAAGTCAACAACTAATGTAAATTCAGAAATGTTTGGGTGAATTTATAATTAAGAGTGTTAAACAATGGAAATTCATGAATGTCAGATAAAATATCACAATTTCAGGAAATTCTGTATACAAATAATGCTTACGAATTTAAAATGATAGTATAATTTTAGCGTACATATCATATTTTTTGCAATAATATCTGAATATACATTATAAAACAACAAAAAAATAACGTGGCTGAGGTGACAAAGACAGGTAACAAACAAAATTTCAGAAATGTTTTAAAACTGTACAGTTTGTTTGATAATGATAGAGGTAAAAATAAAATGTTCGTTCATGACCAAATCAACAGGCTATTGATTTTCTTTAATATGATGTTGTTTCGTTTTGAGTTATGTCCCTTTGCCATTTGTTAGATTTGGCTAATCAAATGTGACTATAGATCCTTACTAAATCAAAGGGATGAATTATACAAGGCTTAAACAAATGAATACTGCTCAGAAAACAACTTTTTATAAAATTAACATGCTTTCAAATTCAACTAATACAGTTCTCATTGTTGTGGACTTTTGTCATAAAGTTTATTTTTCAAATGCTTTCATCGTCTTGGTAATTTGTAAGTCATGATGAGTAGAAAATCAAAAAAAAATCACAAGTCTTATATATTCTGTAAGGATCTTTCATAATTAAAATAAAAAGTCAAACTTATGGTAAGGACCTTTCATAATTCATATACTAAAGTCAAACAGATTCAACACTCTTGAAAAATACTTTAAAAGTGTATTTCTTATAAGACTTGTATTGAAATGTACATCTTGACATTTGATAATAGAAGAATTTAAAGTTAATTAAAAAACAAATTTGATATTTTAAACAGCTTACTATCTTCCTTCGGGATCTTTTTCCCGTATTTTTTCTAAGACATTGATTTCTAGTTTGGCAGCCTCTCTGTATTTTTCTATGTTTTTGATGATCTTCAAGGCAATATGTTCCTGATTTCTACAATAAAGAAGAAAACTAATTATTTACACAATAAACTATTGGTTTATATATCTATTTATCAACAGTGCTGCAAAAAATTCCTGTCCCTAACCAGGTCTGTCAGTCATAAAACTTTATTCAGGACTTGGAGTACAAAATCTGTACTTCAAAGAAACACCAAATCCAGTCTTCTGATTGGTTGATTTCTGAGTCTGAGTATAATAATTTCTGAGTATAATAATTCAACACTCAACTGATTTAATTTACCAAGTTTAACCACAGATGAATTTAGTAATGTGCAAAATGTATAATTCTCTGGTTAAAACAATTTATAAGTGGGCAAGAACTAGTTTTACATTAAAGCATGTAGATATAAGTTGGAGGCTATAAGTTTTCTGTTAATCTTTGTCTACACTTTATAAAATGTAGCTTAGATTGATTTTACAGACACAATCCTTGAATAATGGAAGTAGGCACAAGATAGACAAAACTTTCAACTCTCCACTATGTGGTTTAGGCAGGTTTTTTCTTTACTTTGAGTTTCATCAGGATATCTGCAAGTTATCCATTAAGGGACTTATAAAAAGACAATGCCCCCCCCCCCTTCTGGGTAGGACTGATTCATTGTGCATTGATGGAAAGGACAAATCCACACAAGCTATGAACTGTTAATCTCTTCATGTCTTTTTATAAGTTTTTATGTGTTGTTTGGTTTCTGTCAATTGATATATATATCCAACATCTTGTATATATATACCAGTAATTAGAGTGTTTTATCGTTATGGGGTCTTCATTTCTATAATGTTTTTAGCCATTATTCTCTATTATGTAAACCCCATTCAGGCCCCAAAGTTCATAATTCTTTGTTATATGCTGCATGAGTTATTAATAGATAAAATATAAATTATTAAGTTTTAACTACAACAAAAAAATTGATATTTAATTGACTTATTATCAAAACATACAAAGCTAAATCTTGATAACAGATCTTTTACAACATTTGGGAATTTAAGGAAGCAGGTGGCTAACAAAACTCACCACATGATCATTTTTTTTTCACATTAAGATTTTGATGCTAAACATTTTGTTCATATCTGATAACTTATGATTTGGTATTGATGTTGATTTTGACTAAAAAATAAAATGATTTAATTTAAACCGCCATTTTCTACTTCTTTTTGGTTTGATTAATGCATGCCATCTCATTGTATCCACATCTCTACATTAATTTATTTTTATATATCTATATATAGAAATAAGGAGATGTGGTATGACCTATCGACCAAGGACCTAAGGACATAAGTATGTTAACAACATCAGGTAACTGTATAGTCTTCAACCTTGTTTTAGTCCTCAATATGTATGAAATATTTTCAACAACAAATTGAGGAATTTTCTAGTCTCAAAGAAAAAATATTCTACCATCACTTAGATAATTTCAGGTCAGTAAAACAATTTTGCTTAATATAATCCTTTATATAACATTGTTATGGTACAAATCTTAAATTATCTTAAATTTAATACCCTGTTTCAAAGCCCTGATAATCCTGATGAGCCCCAGCTATTTAACACCCTGTTACAGAGCCCCCCATCAACACTGCCCAATAATCCAGTAGGACAGTTGCTGAACACCCCATTAACAACTGCCTGATACTCCAGTAGCCCCTTGCTGAGCCTCCCCACCCCCTTTAACACTGTCTAATAACCCAGGTACCCCCTTGCTGAGCCCCTACAGTACTAACTGATGTCTTTTTCCTAATTTCTGATTGATATCCCATGTATCAGTGATAAAACTTGTGAAGAATGTAGCAGGAAATACACACATTCTGTTTAGATAACAGTTACTATGGTAACCACTACTGCTTTTTTCATGACCTTAAGTCTATTCCTAGTCAGGTTGGTATGCACGTAGGCACTATAAGTTTGGATATTATCATGACATTTTTTTATTTATATAACTCAAATCTATAACAGGTATCAAGTACCTATCCCACTTGATAAAAGTTTCTTCAAGTATTCAACTTTCAAAATTTTTAAAATAAACTGAATGAACCCAGAATAGTATAAAACACTGTAAATTCATACATTAAAGTGTGCAATTATTAGTGCTAATTAATGATTAACTGGTAAAAATGTGAAATCTAATTAAAGTGATTGCAAAAGGTTTGTAAAGGAAAATCTCTGCTGAAATTATGAATGCAAGTATTTTTAATGTAGTACCTTTTGAAACAACTGCTTTACTTTGATGAATTTTGCTAGAGACGAAGCATTTGAAATCATTAGTTGGGACATTTTAGGATTGTGGTCAAATCTGTTGTGCATTTGTACGAAAAAAATCAAACTTTTTCTATGTTGGGTAATTGATTTATCATCAGTTAATTTTCTGCCATTCAATGAAATTACATAATTTTCAAGATCTACAGTTTGAAGCCAAAAGGAACCAATGCCAAAAATTGTACCTATTTATATAATTGTGTTTATAAAATACTGTCAATTGTATTTATAAATATTTAGTGTTCTAGTGTTCTATTTTCTTTGTTCTTATATTCTTTAAATGGAATGTTTTTCCCCTTTTACAGCCACAAATTCCACTTTCCTGTAGAGACATGTAAGGTGGCAGGTACCAGTTTTGGTGTACCAGAACATGTGTCCCACACAGAAATTTTGTTATAGTTAAGCAATGAGGTATATAATTGCATCATGTGGACTGAAAAAATAAATGAATGTAAATTCTAGGCTATTATACTACACAAGTAAGTAGTTGCATACACAGGTTGGGGATGTCCTTCACATATGGGTCCAATCAGAAGCCAAATTGTGGTCTCCTCACTTGATGGCATCCAATCAAAGTGGGGAAAAAATTCAGTTTTATGTTAACAAAAATGTCTTGAGATTTTGATGGTAACTGTAAGGATAGGTGCGGACAAGGCTCTAATTCATTGAATATCATTTATCTCTTGAATTTTGCCTAAAATTCTTGTCTGCTATTAGCAGGAATCTGTAGGTGAGGATTAGATTTGTATCAGAGCATCACATTTTTTGCCTTATTTGCAATGCATTTATAAATTTTATAATCTGCATGCTGGACAGACACCCAAATTTAAAAGTTTTCTATATATTCACATAAGCAGGCACACATCTTCGTTACTTGAAACCATACATTTTATTTGTATATAAGCTTGAATGATTTTTCAAGAAAATTAAATCATAAATCAATGAAATTCTAAAGATTTATTGTAAAATAACTGGTTTCTGCCACCTAAGTGGTTATCCTCCCAGAGAGCTGTGGTGAAAACAAACTAGACAACCTTACAGTGAATCATTGTTAATTGAACCAGTAATTGAACATCCTTTACAAACCACAAACTTCTACATTCTATCCTCATTACTAAGGCTTAGAAAATATAAATTTACTAAATCTAAAATCAGCTTTTGAAGTTCTAATGTTACTTTGAAATGCATTTAATAAATGTACATTTTTACCAGTTTTGAACCATCATACTTATTATCTGCATTAAAGGAGAGAAAAATAAATGGTGAATGTGTCCATGGGACACAGATGATGCCCCCGCTTGCATATAATGTTATAAAGGGACATAACTCAAGAACTGTAAAAGTGACGCTACCCAAATTTGTACTTAATCTGAGTTTTGTGGTAATAAGTATATATTGTGTATATGTTTCATAACATTTAGTTGAGGCAAACTTAAGATAGAGAACGGAAACGAAAAATCCAGCAATTTTTCCATTTGTAAAGGGGCATGACTCTAGAACGGTAAAAGTGACGCCACCAAAATTTGAACTTGATCTGTATTTTGTGGTAATAAGCATTGTGTATAAGTTTCATTACATTTGGTTGAGGCTTACTTAAGTTAGAGAACGAAATTCAGCAATTTTTCCATTTGTAAATGGGCATAACTCTAGAATGGTTACAGTGACACCACCAAAATTCAAACTTGATCTGTGTTTTGTGGTAATAAGCATTGTGTATAAATTTCATAACATTTGGTTGAGGCAAACTAAAGTTAGAGAACGGAAACGTAAAATTCAGAATTTTTCCATTTGTAAAGGGGCATAACTCTAAAACGGTTAAAGTGACGCCACCAAAATTCAAACTTGATCTGTATTTTGTGGTAATAAGCATTTTGTATAAGTTTCATAATATTTGGTTGAGGAAAACTAAAGTTAGAGAACGAAAACCAACTTTGGGACGTACGTACGGAAGGACGGACAAGGGTAAAACTTAATGCCCACTCCACTATGGTGGAGCATAAAAAGTGGCAGCCATAATTTGAGACAATGTAATCATGGTTATGAGAATAAGAATAAGAAAATAAAACACTTTTATTCTGGCCTTATCATCATTTAACAAATCAATTTCATGCATGTAAACTAATATCAAATATTACTATTTAATATTTCTAAAAAAACAATCAATGAACTAATAACTGAGCCTATGAAGGGTTAGGATGCTGTATAATGATATGTACAAGTCTGTAATTAACATGAAGGGTGTATAATGATATGTACAAGTCTGTAACTAACATGAAGGGTTAGGATGCTGTATAATGATATGTACAAGTCTGTCATTAACATGAAGGGTTAGGATGCTGTATAATGATATGTACAAGTCTGTCATTAACATGAAGGGTTAGGATGCTGTATAATGATATGTACAAGTCTGTCACTAACATGAAGGGTTAGGATGCTGTATAATGATATGTACAAGTCTGTCATTAACACGAAGGGTTAGGATGCTGTATAATGATATGTACAAGTCTGTCATTAACACGAAGGGTTAGGATGCTGTATAATGATATGTACAAGTCTGTCATTAACACGAAGGGTTAGGATGCTGTATAATGATATGTACAAGTCTGTCATTAACACGAAGGGTTAGGATGCTGTATAATGATATGTACAAGTCTGTCATTAACACGAAGGGTTAGGATGCTGTATAATGATATGTACAAGTCTGTCATTAACATGAAGGGTTAGGATGCTGTATAATGATATGT